ATATATATATATATTAAGATGAAAATGTTCTAGAGTGTGTATTATATAATATATTACAGAGTGTACAATAACACAACTAAATCTGGATGCGTTGAGATGTCATCATCCAAAGGAGTGTCATGGCGAGTTCCCTCCCCTTTTTTTCTATAACCAACGCCTTTCCGACCTTCCTGTTCAATGTAATTGTTATGTAAATTATGTACTTTCACGATAGAGTTCCTGTTTTCCTCGTAGCCGCTCTTTGTGACGTGTGGGAGACTAGTAAGTAGTTCTTTGTCCAAAATACATCTCCAACCAGTCTTTCTCTTCATTACAGTATACAAATGTTGCTTGACTGGCAAACAAAAAATTTAGGCCTGTTTTAGACGGCGTAATTTCTACGTGCCGAACCTATTGAAATCTTATTTTGTTCGACTTCACTGCATTTTCCGGCGTGGAAACGGAATATTGAATATTTAATTTAATTTATTAACTCCGCGAATGCTCATTCCTCATCCTGAAATCAAAACTGCCGAAAAAGCTCTTCGCATTCTGAAACACAGGTCTTAGTGTATATATATATATATATATACACTAAGTTAAGTTATAATATAAGTGGAGTAGCTCAATCAATCAGATTGCAAAATAGCTCGTATGCGGTGGATGACTAGATTATAATAACATATATAGGAAGCCCAGCAAATATACGGCCAAGTATCCTCAAAATGAATGGTTTTAAAATCACTAAATTTTAAACTCAGGTTTAAATTCAGTTTCCTCAAAGAATTCTTGGAAATTCTTCAAAAATTTCCAAAATTTACCGATGCAAAATTCCTTCTGTGATTCTGATCCTTGGCCCAGTTCTTTTTCTGCTGTATGTCAACGATCTGCCCCGGACGGTAAAAACATCATTGTTTCGCTGATGACACCAAAGTTCTAAAACAGGTTAACAACTGTGAAGATACCGTTGGCCTTCAAAGCGATATTGGCAACATCAACACTTGGGCCAGAAAGAATGGTTTGAAATTCAACCAAGCAAAATGCAAGTGCCCGCCCGCGTGTTACACGCAAGAAAACACCCTTTGAATATCCGTACGCGATTAATGGTCAAACACTTAGTATTGTGAGTCACGAAAAAGATCTTGGTGTCTGCATGGGTGTCGAGTGATTTGACCTGGAACAAGCAAGTTATTGAGCGGTGTTCGAAAGGGAACAAACTGTTGGGATTTCTAAGAAGATCCATCCCAGGAGATAAGAAACCCAGTAACAAGAAGATGCTTATATTTCACAGTTGTACGACCTCACCTTGGCTATAGGCTACGCATATCTGGGCTCCTCAAACAATCGAGCTGATAAAGCGAGTTGAAAGAGTGCAGCGTCATGCGACGCAGTTTATCCTTAACCTACCGTTCTACAGCGAAGTACCCTACGACGAACGTTTAATATATAGCCTCCAATTTACTACCAATTAGTTTCTGACACGAGTATTTAAATTTAGTACGTTTTTTTTCCAAATGATTAATGGATTGGTCTATGCAAACAAAGATATAGGCTACTACCAACAAAAAATCGTGGCAATGAAAGGAAAGCGAGAGCAACAAGAAATCCAGACATTATCTTGTTCCGTAATAAGAAATACAAGACTGTATAACCTACCAGACCTCCTTCATCAACAGAACAACAAGAATATGGGACATTCTTCATATAATGAACTTAAGGTGGCTCCCTACAGTTATTCTTGTTTAAGCAATAATTCCGTAAAACAGGCTTATTCGTGCAGAACGCGAATTCTTTTCGACTTGGTGGTAATATTGGTCACCTAAGGAATATTTCGAACTAGATTTCGACGATGTCAATGTTCCCATGGCAACATGACGACAGCATAAAGCCTTCCAATTTAACCCATAAATGTGCCGCTATCTCAAAAACGATGTCGGTGACCTATCTTTTTTATTTCATATATCAATAAGGAATGATGCTCTGCAACTGTGGTGAAAGTTTAAAAAAATTCTGTAGTGTGTGATTTTTTTAAAAGCGAAAAATTTATTGCGAAATTTCCACACTACAGATTTTTTTAAAATTTGAAATTTATAAAATTTACCGCAAAATAAATTCGTGGTCAAAATTTGAAGATAGGTCACCGATGAAACTAATGAGTAAAATGCAAATAAAGTTAGAAAATAGCCTCGTGTAACTCGAGAAATTCCCCTATTGAAAAGCGTCGCTGACTAGTAAAAGATTGTACGCGGGCGCAGAACGAGTTTTCATTCAGCAAAATCGAGCCGCAATGTTTTTACTGTTTTGTTTTTGTCAACTTTTCGATTTATTTGAGTGCTACGGACAGCCAAGGATTATTGTGAAGGATTAAAACGATGAAAACAAGGTTGAAGCTAATTGAATCCTGCCGTTTACTCAATCTATGAGCTGTAACAGCCTATTACTGTAACAGGTGGACGTGTTTTTTTGTTTCATGTTTGGTTTTGTACTTTTTGCTAAAAATGAACAATTAGGCTATGAAACTGAAATATTTTTCTGTTTACATATAATCACTTTAATCTTGTAGAAACACGACTAAAAACGTGAACGTTTTCTTGAGAAGTAAACAACTTTTTAAACGTTTGTATGCAATTTTGCAAATGTTTTACAGTTGACAATGTATATTTTAAAAACATTAAAAAACATTGTTTCGTAGCTATTTTTGGTCTAGTGGTATTCGTATCATATGTAGAATTGCTGTATAGACTCGCAAGTAATTTGGCACTCAAAACGAAGTATTATTCAACGCTTTTTCCCATTAGAAACCTTTCAGAAATAGCTTTTTTTAAAAAAAATATTTTGTTTTGTTTTGATCATGCGGTTGCGTGGGATAGTTCACGTACTGGTCCCGCGAACATCCCGCACGCAACTGTAGGGAGCCTCCTTAAACAACAATCTCTTTCCTTGTCCACATTTAAATATTTACTTTACAGATATTACACTACTCTATCAATATAAACTATGAATCTGAAAATCCCCGGAGGTGGAAATCAATCTGTTTGAAATGTAACGCTTCTCGTATAGTCTTGCTACTCCACTCTCTTGTTGTTCCCGATAGTTGTATCTGTTCTCGTAAATTAAGTTAGGTTAATGTAATTATATGTTTATATCATAGCATTTGCAAAATAGGGCCCACAGTAATTGGTTTTTATACTGTTGTGGTGACCCTGCCACTCTTTTATGTGGTAAAGTTATAATATATGATGACAGAAACTTTGACGACAGCAACTTGTTAGTGTTTAATCTTTAATATCGAGCAAGTTGTCCAACCAAGTAGTTTATAGGATTTTTCCCTTCCCAATTTTTTGTCGGGAATATCAGTTCTGTTTCTACGAAAATATATCACCATTTCTTTGCATTTGTTTTCCGTTTCATTATCTCCATTGTATTATTTTTAGTAACACATGACTTTAAGGGTGCTTGAAATTGTACTTTACACAGAGACTAGATACGAGGTAAACAGGAACTACACCGCGAAGCATAACAATTATAAGTTCGGCACATGATCGGCGATAAGTATAATATGTACAAGAAGTTACTATATGTCGCAAGGAAGTGTTTCAAATCCCTGGAATTTATTATACCAAGATGTGGAATTGACTTATTTATAGTTTCTGAAAACAAATTGTATGCATGAATTTATTTTGATTCAAAAATACTCAATTTACAACATAATTACTATAAATGTAAGTCAATATAGTCAACCTGATGCTTGGGGGTTTCAATATAAGGAAAATGTAAAAATTCCAAATTTTTGGCCATCAGCATGAATTTTTCACATGCCTCCATATCAAATATTTATTGCCATCTTGAAGTCTACACTTTCTGTGAATATGGTGGTTTCTTCACGAAATGCACAATTCCAGCTAAATTTTGCACATATCCGCCGGGCTAGTAGCGGAAGTGGAAAGCCTGAGTATATATAAGGGTGCCGTATAGTCCGCTTACACTCTGTTCCCTTTGTTAGAACATTCAACAACACGGAAGCTAATGTTCAATTTGTTGATTTTATCACCCGAAGATGGATTTAAAAGTTTACATTCAGTTAATATCTTTGTGCGTTGTGAACGTAATGCTTATTTGCATAGGAATGATTTTTAACACATTGGTGATCGTCAGTTTTTGGAAATCCTCGGCATATATTCGAAGTAAGGTATGTTATTTCATGATCATGGTGCTATCGTGCTTCGACTTCCTTGTGGTCATAACGAGTCATCCGTTAATTATCGTTCACCTAGTCTTCTGGTTAAATGATAAGCACCATTTATTTACTGCGACCGAGATTTACCGGCGTATTTCAGACATTTTCATTGGCTTTTCTATCATCGCACTTCTGGTAATGAATATTGAACGATATCTGGGAGTATACTATCCTATCTTTCATCGAACATCAGTAACCAGAGGCAGACTGCTAAAACTCCTCGCAATATTATGTATTTTACCAATTATTGTAATAATGATTTCTGTGAACGACTTGGTAATATCCTTGTCAGTGGCTATAGTAATTTTCCTTGCCATTATATTTCCACCAATTATCTTCCTCAACTACAAATTGTTTAAGATTTCCAGAAAAATGCGACGCGACAACACAACATCACCCGAGGAATCAACCTTGCATGTCAATTTAAAGAAGATTCATACTTGTTTGTTGGCAGTTGGCTGTCTCATGTTGATGTACACTCCTGCTTTCTTCTTCATTGCGTTTAACTTCGCTGAAAAATGGACGTCAGAAATTACGATGGTGTCTCGGTTTTGGTCCGCCACTGTATAGCTACTGCGAATTCCACATTGAACTGTGTGATCTTTTTCTGGAAGAATGACGTTTTACGCGGAGAAGGAAAAAAGGTATTGAAGACCTTGAAAAACCGTCTTTTCCCATGCTAAAGTTGGCCCAGCTTAATTTATCCATGTTTGATAGTTCCGTCAAACGAATTGTTCATCAGGACATAGAACTCGTCTGTCGTTAAATAGGTCAAGGGTAAAAAATCAGCCAAATGTGCAACCTCGTACGTACCCAGGGCATTTTGCTTCCCACTCAGCGAAAATGGTGAAAATTCCCATTCTCAGCGAAAATTCCCATTTTCGCTGAGTTCTTTGTATGTTTGCATGGTGATAAAATATAATAGGTTTTGTTTGTGGAAACACCACGTAAATTTATTACTGCAAAGCTTTCGATCCGTAAAGCTTTGCAGTAATAAATTTACGTGGTGTTCCCACAAACAAAACCTATTATTAAAATGCCTTGGGTACGACGTTGCCAAATGTGGCGAGTGTATTGCATGTATTTTATTAGAAAACATGATGCAGTTGAATAGAATTGTAAGTATAATAGCGGAAATCACCGAGTATTTTCATACTGCCGGTCTTATTTAGTCTATGCAAATGAAATGAGTGTGAAAATATATTTTTTGTTTGTCCTTCTGTCGTGTTATTGTTTGTAATTGTACCTAGCTGATGGAATCAATGGGAGTAAGATTAAACAAGTGCTTATGCCCGCATCGAGCTTTTGCCCGCATTAAGAAATGCGTCTCCTGTGAAAGATAAAAAATCAGTTTGCCTTTGATCTTCCTTACTTGAAGTATCCCGACCTGTATTTCAGAATGCGAAGAGCTTTTTCGGCAGTTTTGATTGGTTAAAGAATGAGCATTCGCCGTTCTGACTGGCTCAAATTTTCCCGCCCAATGACTTTGTTGAAAAACCTTTCCCAGAACAGCAAAAACTCTAGAGCTTCGATATTTAAGTTTCCTGGGAGATGATGCCCTCAGACCCCCTGGATTTGTGTCGTTCGCCATAACTTCGTAGCCAGGGTTTGGGTACGAGTTTGCGTTCGCCATAGCTTTTTCACAGTTATATATGATAGCCAGAGTTTCACTGATAACCCTGATTCTTTATTCCGAACTAATTTTGTCACTGATATTATCTATTCTGAGTTTTGTATATCTCTATTTTTCCAACAAAACAGCCAATATTGCGTATTCCTTAATTTGTTTGGCAAATAGTCAATATTCATTGAATTCTAAAAGCGATATAATCTTTATTCAATATTCCGTTTCCATGCCCGAAAATCCAGTGAAGTCGAACCAAATTTAAGATTAAATTGTTTCGGTACACAGAAATTATAACGCCGTTTAAAACTGGCCTAAATTTTGTTGTATATACCAGTTACTTGTTAGTTTTTTGCTATTTGATGTTAACGTATTGTTCTTGGTTCGCAGTAATTGGCCAATCGCTGTTGCGAATACCCTGCCATATAGTCTATTTGGTTAATTCGTTAAATTATTACTTTGTAATAACTGTTAAGACTATTTGGTGAAGTTAATAAATTAAGCAACATTTATACATTGTAATGAAGAGAAAGGCTGGTTGAAGATGTATTTTACACACAGAACTGCATATACTAGTCTCTCACACGGCATAAAGAGCGGCTACGTGGAAAACATGAACTATGCTGTAAAGTACATAACAATACACCCTTTCGATAATTACGTCACAACTACACTGTTTTCAACTTAGGACCATCTTAAATGGAAAGGATTTCAAGTTTTTTTCTCATTGGCTTTGCACAGAGAAGCAGAACATTCTTCTTCAACACATGCGCGAAAAACAATTTTGGATTTTGATCAATAAATATGGAAATAAGCATATTTATTAATCAAAATCCAAAATTGTTTTTCGCGCATGTGTTGAAGATGGATGTTCTGCTACTCTGTGCATAGCCCATGAGAAAAAAAATGAAATTCTTTCCATTTAAGATGGTCCTAAGTTGAAAACAGTGTAGTTGTGACGTAATTATCGAAAGGGTGTATTGTATTAACAGAAACGTTGGAAAGGCTTTGGTTATAGAAAAGGGAAAAAAGTCGCCATGGCACGCCTTTGGTATGCCTCAGAATTGTGTCTTGCATACAACCCAATAATATCCCAATATCACATTATTGGCGACAGGCTATTTTTAACTTATCACATGAGTCCCCACCCGAGACGATAAGTACTATAGGTGACGTTGGAAGCTGGCTGTATAGACCGCCCACCCTCTGTTCCCTTCGATTGAACATTCAAGAGACAGGAAGTTAATGTTTAAGTTGTTGATTGTCGTCCGAAGATGGATTCAAAAGTTTACATTCAGCTACTATTTTTGTGCGTCGTGAACGTATATGTTTATTTGCGCAGGATTAATTTTAAACACTTTGGTGATCGTCAGTTTTTGGAAATCCTCGGCATATCTTCGAAGTAAAGTATGTTATTTCTTGATCATGGTGCTATCGTGCTTCGACTTCCTTGTGGTCATAACGAATCATCCGTTAATTATCGTTCACCTAGTCTTCGCGTTAAATGAAGAACACCATTTATTAACTGCGACCGAGATTTACCGGCGTTTTTCAGACATGTTTATTGGCTTTTCTATCCTCGCACCTCTGGTAATGACTATTGAACGATATCTGGGAGTATACTATCCTATCTTTCATCGAACATCGGTGACCAGACGCAGACTGCTAACACTCCTCGCTGCATTATCCATTCTGCCATTTATCTTAATGATGATTTCTCTAAACGACCTGGTAATTTCCTTGCCAGTGGCTTTAGTCATTTTCTTCGCCATTATATTTCCACCAATTATTTTCCTTAACTACAAATTGTTTAAGATTTCCAGAAAAATGCGACGCGACAACACAGCATTACCCGAGTAATCAACCTTGCGTGTTAATTTAAAGAAGATTCATACCTCTGTTTGTTGGCAGTTGCCTGTCTCGTGTTGATGTACACTCCTGCTTTTTTCTTCATTGCGTTTAACTTCGCTGAGAAAAAATCGACGTCAGAAAATACGATGGTGTCTCGATTTTGGTCCGTCACTGTAGCCACTACGAATTCCACATTGAACTGTGTGATCTTTTTCTGGAAGGATGACGTTTTGCGCAGAGAAGGAATAAAGGTACTGAAGACCTTGAAAAACCGTCTTTTCCCATGCTAAAGTTGGCCCAGCTTAAATTATCGATGTTTGCCTGATACTAGTTGCGCGTTAATCAGGACATCAGTATCACGTCTGTCATTTTATAGGTTAAGGATAAAAAATCAGCCAAATGTGGCGAGTATATATTTTATGTATTGTATTTTATTTTATTTGCATGTATTTTATTGGAAAACAGTTGAATAAAATTGTGACCAATAATGGCGGGAATCATCCACTATGAGTATTTTCATAACACTGGCCACATACTTTGTGTTTGAGGGTAATTATTATCAAGAGGATTGTGGAACAGCAATGGAGTCACCAGTATCGGCAGTAATTGCTAACTTAGTAATGAAGATGCCGAACCCTCTGTTCCGGTATCTCTTTCGTTTTGGAAACGTTTCGTCGATGATGTCATCTCTGCGGTTTCTAGAAATGAAATCGATATTCTACTGCAACATTTAAAGTCTAAACTCCGAGGGTGATACCTCTGCCAAGGGTTATGCAATAGTTCCATAGATTCGATGTGTCACAGAATCAATCAAGAGAATCTTAAGTAATTGTAATATTTGAACTTAGGCCATATTTTCGCAAAGCCGAACTATCCTGTTAAAACAAATCGGAAAACTCATGTTGTATATTCTATACGATGCGGTGACTGCGAGAAAGAGTATTTGGGTCAGTCTAAATGCCAGTATGGTACACGGCTATAAAGGAACATTAAAAGGCTGTTTCAACTTTAAAGAAAGGGAAATCAGCTTTAGTGAGAACACGAGAATGCGTGGGAAAATTCTAAAGTAATTACCACAAACAATCACTATGGCCAAAGGTGAAGCTTAGAAGCGTGGTATATAAATATGAGTAATCATGTTTTGAATAGGGATGACTATGCCTATTTGCCAGAGGAATACATGCATCTTATTGGCAATTAACGTCATCCCTTGGGTATATAAGAAGCCACATTGCTACTTTAGATCGCCCCTGATGAAGACACTGGTAGACTGGAGTGTCGAACCGTTGGGTCTTGGTTACAATTCGACTGGGCTTTGTATTCATTTATATAAACCAGAGTATAGCATATTCCCTATTCCAACAAAACAGCCAATATTCCGTATTCCTTAATTTGTTTGGCCAATAGTCAATATTCATTGAACTTTTAAAGCCACGTATTCTTTATTCAATTTTCCGTTTCCACGCCCGAAAATGCAGTGAAGTCGAACCAATATGTTCGGCACATAGAAATTACTCCGTCTAAAACAGGCCTAATTTTTTTTGTTTGCCAGTCAAGCAACATTTTTATACTGTAATATGTAGAGAATAACTGGTTGGAGATGTATTTTGCACAGAGAACTACATACTAATCTCCCACACATCACAAAGAGCGGCTACGAGGAAAACAGGAACTCTATCGTGAAGTACATAATATACATAACAATTACATTGAACAGGAAGGTCGGAAAGGTGTTGGTTATAGAAAAAAGTGGGAGGGAACTCGCCATGACACTCCTTTAGATATATATATATATATATATATATATATATATATATATATATATATATATATATATATATATATATATATATATATATATATATATATATATGTATATATATATATATGTGTATATATATATATATATATATATATATATAAACGGGTTGTTTTTCGTTGAAAGACTAAAAAGAGTGCTCAATACTACTGATAAACAGTACAGTAGAGCTATGTAATTAACGTTACAAATATCTTAAAATAACATGTTTTTTCGCTACTCTGAGTTTCACGATCTTGTCTGATCGATCTTCAGGCGATTTATGTCCGTTTAATTAGTTTTAACAAGATTTCAGAACGTTGCAGAAGTTAGAAGAGCTTCGCAATTCCGTTGTGACAGCATGCCCTAATTCAGAACTACGAACGATCCAATGACGATCCTTCGCGATGCAGTGGTCTCATGAAATAAGGAAACGTATTCGTGCTAGGAACACACGCGAATTGCGGACGAATGAATCTTGCTTGTATTTTGTAGATATAATAATACTTTGTTTCATAATAAACAATTTGTCAAGTGTCATTTATTTACTGGTAATAGTGCATGTTTCAGTCGGGCAAATCTTGATTAATATTTGATACGCCGATTTTTGCATATTTCAGACACATCCAGACATATCCTCCCGAATTTAAAGATTAATATCTCAGTGAATTTTTAAGTGAAATACAACTGTAATACATCAAAGTCTAAGTTAGTCCTTCCTCTATTTGATGCAAGTTATTTCTCTTTAAAAGCTATACTTGTTTAGATGTTATTACGAATCAAACAGGAGTACTTTTTTGGGCCACCCGGTATATATATATATATATATATATATATATATATATATATATATATATATATATATATATATATATATATATATATATATATACTATATAT